AATCAACCTTAAAAACATGATATGGAGAACTAGCTGACTTTAGACAGAAAATTTGTATTCTTTTTAGAGCCTTAAGCATACATTAAAAACCAGTTTTGTTTTCCATCTATACATAATTCCATATACTATACTTTATAGTCTTACCTAACTTACACTAGATCAGTATTTTTGAATCAGCAGATTAACATTGAGTTCCACCAAGTAAATAAAGCCTTAATATTGTTTTGTGTCATCAAACATATTTAGCAAAAAAAAAAAATATATATATATGCTCAATTATCCTTTTCACAATTGTTAGCCTGCTGCTAGAATGATTTGCTAATGGGAACATAAAGATCAATTCAGGTAAGGTAAATGCACCATTAGGTAAGGTAAAAGCAACATTATTTTAACTAATGCAATGTGTTAGTCAATAGAACAAATTGCCTAACATCTACGGTGCATAATATAGGCTAAAAAATACGTTCTCGTCCTCTGAGCATGGTTCATTGGTGTGAAATATATACTTATGCAAACCTCAATTTAATTAAGCAAAATCATAGTGTGTAGTTTAACTCATTGCTTATACTTTAATTCATCCCAGATTGAATTTCCAATAAGAATTTGAACATTTTCTAGAGGAACAAATTTATATATAAATATAGGACCTAAAATTGGTTTGTTTTCTCTTAATTAGAAAGTCTAGGAATAATTTAATTTTGGAATGGTCTTTACCTAAAGTGGCTGATTGGCTTCCTAATCTTAGAATTGAATTTGCTTGAACAGACTTTACAAATGGACTGACAATGTCATAGCTGTATTTCATAGGGAAATCATGAGAGAAACGAATGACCTACAACAATGGGCATAAAATATTTTGCTGCTTGTTAGGTGAATGAAAGATACTCAGTTTGGTTTCAAAGTACATAGATATTTTAGCTCTCAGTTATCTGGAATTGAGCTATTAGCATTTGAAATATTTTTGATATTTTTTCCATACACATTAGCTGATAATCTCTAGAACAGGAGAATCTTAATTTACTCTAGACTGAAAGTTCACAGAACTTTGTTTTACTGGAGCCTTCTGCTAGTTTGAAAAGGCAGTTTATTTGTAAATAGCCTAGAAATCAGAATCAGAGTTACGATGGGAGAAAAGGGCAATACAACACTTATTGGGGTTTTCACTATTATTTTAGAAATACTGTAAATAATGAGGACGGCGGAGATCCCCATACTGACATGGAAGCACCAAGAATACCTCCCAAAGTAGAATATTATAAATGGTTTTTGGATTATTCACTTCTCATTAGTCAGGAGTTGTTCATCACACAAATAGTTCACTTTTATAAATCAGTCATTTCAAACTTTAGACTTTATTTACAATGATAATTTTTATAGTTTTATTACTTAGAAAATAATTTATATTTTTCCATCATTTAAACAAAGAATAGGCCTGAGTATCATGCCTTTTGCACAGCTTTTACCTTGAAAGAAAGTTCTCTGGGTAAGAAAGGCAGAGGACATGGGGAAATTGCAAATTAACAGTCTACATACAATCTAATATGAACAGTCTGCAATACATTCCATTCCTTTTCTTTAGTTTTACTTGAATTGCAATGGTTAAGATTTGTTCTGGAATTCAACCAAAATGGAAGAGATAGAATTGGGTATTTGATTTTTAGAAAGTGGACAGTTTCTTAGACATAGTACGTGGAAATTCTTTCACTTGCCAGATGAAGACCAAAATATTAATAGATATATCCCTGTTCAGAGCTGTCTTCATCTTTTACTGAGAGCAAAACCAGGTCTTATATAAATGACAAAAAAAAAAAAAAAAAAAAATTTCTACAGTTAAAAAAGCAAAAAAAAAAAGTGGTGTTTTCACCAAAGGAAACATTCTAAAGGTCAGCTTAGTTAACTGGAAAGACATTCTATTAGCATGCTGAAAATGGCATTTATGATACTCAGACTATACCTGGGTCTTTTACTTGAGAGAGTAACCATGACCTTCCAGGCAACCAGTTCTAACTTTTTCTGCCATTGATTTTATGGTTGTCTAAACAATTATCCTTCTCCATAAGTGGGCTAGAAACACCTTCATTTGAAAGACCTGAGTTTATCTAATGGCACCTATAAATAGGCTCATATAAAAACGTAGTAAATTGCAACAAATACATTGGCACCACGGGAAGTAAGCTTCGGAGTTGAAAGTGAATACAATAATATTGCCAAAAAGGGGGAGAACCCCACTAGAAGAAAATATTTTATTGAGACATACTGGTGTGTATGAAAGTCACGCAATTGGTAGATCCCCGTCCCTTTATTTTCATTGACTTCTAGCTTCAATATAATAGCAATTTATTTTTGAAGAAAAAATTATCAATCTGCCTGGACTGATGAACACAATTCTGGAATGAAGAGATTCTAATTGCTTTGGCCACTATTATTCACATTATTTCATGTACCTTAAAACAAAACAAACAAAACCAGGCACTTTGCTGAGACCTCCACTATGGCAGCTAGGCTGTCCCCTGCATGGGTCGCTCAGTTTGAGAGACAGTTACGGATTCACAACTGTTCTGCCATTACACTTGCTCTGCATCTAGCTTTTTCCTCAACTTATATTTACTTTAGAGATGTACACAATTTGGAAAAGAAGAGATTAGTTTTCTTAAATAATTATATGTGAGTGGCATGAAAATATAAATGCTTTTTTCCTTCTCTTATTTGCAAGGGAAGGAAAAGAGTTAAATTTACTGGGGAAATGTATTTGACTCAGTAATTTTTGCAAGCATAGAGACACGCAGGTGATACTAAGAAAATGGAAACAATTCAATAAGTCCTAAATAATAAAGACCTAGTGTTAACTCAAAAATATACTGAAATATATTATAATTATTTAGGTAGAGTTTGCATCTGTTTGATCCTTTTTATATTTTCTACTTAATGGAGAATTTGTCCTAAAATCATGTTTAATTTTGATTGTATTATCTTTGCCTTATCTTAAAAAATGCCAGGGATTATTTCAAAATCATTCTTTGGAATGGGAGAATGCAATATCCACTTATGAGAAACAAAGGTATTTGCAACATAAACACTCCTTTTTATGACTTCAGAGGAACTAAAAATCACCATCAGGGTTTACTTAGAAGCTAAGATGGGTTAGAGGATAAGCAGGTCTGTATATAGCACTGAAGGAAGAGTTATAATCAAAAAGTGTTGGCAAGAAATGGATACCAACTATACAAATTTGGTATTGGTTAAAAAAATCTTTCATCTGGCAGACATGGGCCCAAAATCCATTCAGTTAGCAAATGTGAAAAAAACTTTCTTTGCAGCATCCTCATTTAATTGGCAAAAATAACTGTATCAGACTATCATTTAAATTAGAATAGGTAGACGAGTGGCTGTTCATAGACCTCCATGCAAATGAATCATCACTCTCTTGCTGGGCTTGGAGACAACTATAATGTATAAAAATGGTGATTAAAATATAACTTTATAAAAATGTTTCCCTTTCCCCTTTTTTTTTAAAAAAGAGTTTACTATCTACAGAAACAAAAAAAAATCTTTATATTTACATCAAGATAACTATTCATGACATATATAATAATATGAAATAAAATATTGAAAAGTGAGTATCAACTTTTTAAATAGAGGTTTGGCTCACAGCATAAACAAGTGTAGATAAAAAAAAAAAAAAAAAAAAAAAAAGACTTGCAATAATAACCCAACCCCCAAACAATCTCTCTATAATCTTCCCTGTCAGAAGCAGCATGACTGACAATGGACCAGATCGCAGATGGAAGCTACCCCATCACACAGCACAACAGGGGTTGCCAGTGGGACCTTCACTCCCCAAAGCCAAACGTCAACAGTCGCCAAGGATCAGGCTTTTCCTATGTCACCACAAAAACCCTGGGTTGAAATTTTCTCCTTCACCTCTTACTATGTAACCCAGAGTGGGTTTCTGCTTGCCTGCCTTTTTTTCTTTTTCTACCTCACATTTTGCAGCAAATTCAGAAGACACAGGAGATAACTGTTAAGTGCAATTTCCCAGGCCTTCTCTGGCATCCTTTTAGTATTCTACCCTGATTAAAAGACATGACTGCAGCTCCTTCCTAGGTGTTTATATAAAGAATGCCATCCATATTCACAAACAGCACCTATACATTCATTGGGCAAGTAGACTGGAAAATGCCTCAGTCTTCTGGGTTTGAGGCTGGTGATGGAGCGCCTCCAAGTGGTGCATAGCAGTAATACCAACCACGTGGCCCTCATCTGGCCAGTGAGTGCCCTTCATCTGCAAAGGGACCTTTCTTGAAGCTAAATGGAGGAGGTGCATTTGAAATGGCTGCCTCTCAAAGACACTCCAGAGTGAACTTCTTTCTGTTTGTTCACGTGTACTCAGTCACCGGCTACAGCTATTCTATGAGCTACTAAAACCACAAAAATCTCTCTTTACATATGCACATACAGGCACACGAATACCCTTCAGTCTGGACCTGTTCTCTCTCTCTCTCACACACGCACACACACACTCACACAATCACACACAGTGTTGGCAGGATGTATCAGAATTCAAATAATGCTCTGGAACTTTCATCCCTCGGAACTAAGAGGAAAAGCTGCTTAGTTGGTAATTTGCTGCACTGTTTCCCTGCTAAGCTGCACCCTTTCCTTTGTGATTTGGTTTCCTTTATGATTTATTATATCACAGTGACCACTATATATTTTAATACGAATGTTACTCAATTGTGGGGCCAGGTATCCTGGCTTTCAGTGTGTATGTGCGTGCATGTGTGTGAATATGTTTTACATGTATCTATGTGGGAGCTTATATACACACACACATATAGATTTCCTCCTTAAAAAAATCCTTAGAAGCTGGTGTTGCAATGTGAAAGCTTCTTTGAGCAAGAGTTTTTAAACAATGTACCTCACTGTAAAAATGAACACATAAAATACGAAGAATCCCAGAATGCAATAGCCATCCGCCCATCTTCTTGTATTTCTACAGTGTTGTGTCTTAAGTGTTGTGCTGGCTTGAAAAGAGTCTGTGACAAGTCAATCTGTTTCGAAACACAGCTCATTCTATCCATTGTCACTGGTTGGGCTTTGGGGTTGGGATCTCCTCTGCTCTTGGTTTCCCTTTCTCTTCCTCTTCTTCCTTGATGGCCTGGATCTGCTCTGAAGAGTGCTGCTGAGGGGTCTGGTCCGGGGACTGATTTTCTACGCCTGCTAACCGCTGCTCCTCTTCAATGACTTTCTTCCACATCTTGTGGTTCTGCACGAGGTGATGAGTTATTTGGCAGTAGATTTTCCTCCTTTTGAAAGTTTTCTTTCCTTTAATAAAACAAGAACAAATTAGACTAGTTAGTTGTGTGCTCAGCACATGAAGTCATTTCTTTTCAGATTAATAATAGGAGTTAAGTACCAAATGGAGATACCTATCTATCTATATCTCAACTGATTTGTATATCATAATAATGCAGTTTTGGAGAATGAGGAAATAAGAGAAAGATGGCAATAACCATTAAAATATCACTGAGAAATAACTGTGAGAAGCATTTAATATTTGGTAATGTCCAATACAAAATTCTGCTTGTACCTTGGCATTATGTCTACTATATTCAGGCTCTCAATACTTTTCAGCTAGACCATTGGAATAATTTCTGTTACATGTTCCTTTGTCAACCAATTCAGTTCACAAAAGTCTATAAGGCTGATTAAAGACAGTGTTGGTGTTACTTTTCTGCTTCATGAGGACAAAAAATTAATTTCAAACTCTATTCAAAGTTCCCCCACAAACTAGCACAAGCTCATGTTTGCAATCTTCCCTTTCTACAGCCTGGCCTCTATCTATACTTAACTACTCTGTTTTTTTTTTATACACTGAATTCTATTACTTTCATGCTGGTACTGCCTCTCCTTCTGAAATGCTCTTCCCAATCACTGAAAGTTTATATCCATTCACTATTTTAAGATCTGGTCAGATTTCATTGAATTCTTCTTCTGAAAAATAATCTCTCTCCTAAATTCCCATGTTACTCCATATACCCCCCACCAGAATAGATACTGTTTCTGTTTTTCTTTTTTTTCCCTCCTTCTCATTATTTCTTCTTCTGGTAACTGTGTATCCAAAATTATTTGGGGAGAATGTTCCCCACCTCCCTTCAATTATGTGGTTCTAGAAAAGGTTGTCAAACACAAGCTGTGTCACAGTGATTGGCCAACATGAAGGTGTGCCACCGAAGACAGGTCAATCAAAGTCCTTCCGGGGGATATTTCCTAGTGGCACACAATGAATGTGGGGTCGACTTGGGACAAGAATTTAGAAGTTGAGCTAAGATCCTCCCATTAGACTGTAAACTTCCCTAGCACAGAAGCTTCTTTTCTTTTGTGTATATATCTGCAAAACCCCAGACTTTATCGTAATTATTCAGTAGGAGTTTACTAAATAAATCATTTTCTCTACAGTTTTTGCTCCACAGTTCCAGGAATATGATGAAGTGTTGATACTAAGTGGTAAAAATGGAAATGACATGAAAAAGTGGTCCACAGAAATTTCTGATCGAATTGAGACTACATTAAAGAGTTAACAGTCCAAGTTACCAGGAAGATCAGAAAGGATTACTTAATGAACTAGTTATGACTTATAATGTATACTCTGGGAGGAAGAAAGAAAAGGAAGCAGAAGATAAAAAATATCAACAATAACAAACTAAATGGAAAAACAAGCATCCCATGTACTCACCATCAAATTGGTACTAATCGATCAACACTTACGTGCACATATGGAAGTAACATTCATCGGGTGTTGGGCAGGAGGGAGGGGGAGGAAGGGATGGGTATATTCACACCTAACACACTAACGCACGCGCGTGGTATGCACTGTCTGGGGGATGGGCATGCTTGTAGCTCTGATTCGGGCAGGCCCAAGGCAATATATGTAATCTAAACGTTTGTACCCCTGTAAAAATTTGAAATTAAAAAAAAAACCAAAATGTTCTTCTAAGTGAAAGAGAAAAGGTGATAAAAAAAAAAAAAACCCAAAATATTCTTCTAAGTGAAAAAGGAAAACTGCAAAAAAAAAAAAAAAAATCAATATGCCTTTACTGTGTACAATAAAAACTTGGCTATCCAGTTTAAAAAAAAAAAAAACCCAAAACAAAGCCAGTTGCTATGGGATATGCCAAAGGAACTACATCTCTCAGAGGCTATCTACCAACATTTTTGTGAAAGTGCTAGTGCTTCTTTTAACAGTTTTATTATAATACCCCACATAAATTTCTTGCACTTTACAGGACAATAAAACCAATTTTTAAAACTCAGTGTAGAAAAAAGACATTAAATTAAAATAGATTGAATTACTTTTGATCCATAGGGACACATAACAAAAATTATTAAATTGAATGAACACCAGGGGAAAGGAACACAGGCAGAGTCACAAGGAAAAATTTAAAAATATGTATTTACTGCTGTATTTATCAGTTATTCATGAGAAGGACCCAAACTTATATCGACCAATTGACAATGACTTTTCTGGATGCTGTGGAAACAAAGATCAATTAGGCGCAGAGCCTGCCTTAAAAGAGATTACGCTCTGTATGAGAGAGAGAAGCAGAAGATAAAAACTGAAATACACGTGCTACATTTTATGACAGACACAGACTTGTGACCAGGATGGCCTTACCATTCCTCTCAGTTTGACTAAACTTCAGACTTTCAGACTACAGGACTCTGACCCCCGCTTCTTAGAGTATTTACTTCAGAAAACTTGTAATTGCAGATCCTTTCTCTGCCCCTTTGTAATAGAGATAACTCTTCTCCCAGCCTCTAGCCAATTTTACAACCCTGGAATGTGTTTCTCAGGGACCTGGGAGCCATTTCTTTGAAATGTAATCATTGAGAAAGAGCTAATACAGTGCCGTTGACTATAAATACAGTGTTACACAGCAGATGTCTAGAACTGATGCACTTAAAAATTTAAGAGGGTAGATCTCATACTCGGTGTTCTTACTACAATAAGATGACATTTTTAAAAATAAGGAGGAAGAGAAAGAGAGACAGACAGATAGATAGGGAGGGAGGGAAGAAGGGAGGGAAGAGTGAGGCCCAATCTCCTAGTCTCTGTGGGAGGGTAGGAGCCCAACTTACATAAGCACCAATTAATGGTTGGCCTAATCACATTAACAAACTCCCTCCTTAGGTCCTCCAGTACTTTCTCACTAGCTCACCGTGGCACTTAAAAAGTGTCCTGCCTTTTGTTTCAACAGAGTTGAATTCATTTTTTCTTCCCTATTACAATAGTCTTGAATAAAGCCTTCTTTGCCATTTTTGAGAAGTGTCTGTACAATTTCGCTTTCATACATCAAACCATGGCAACACAAAAGACTCAACCTGTGGGAGACTAGGTAGGACTTTTTTCAAAGGACACAGTACCTGAGCTGGATGAAGTCATGAAGTCATGAGAATTAAATAAAATGTGTGAAGAAGGGCTATGAGCATTCCAAGAGTGAGGGGGCAGGGACACAGGCAAAGGGACAGAGAGGCCTGGGCATGACCCCACATACCAATGCCTTCATTTGAAAGCTTCCTAACAAGGGCAACATACACACACACATACATACGTGCACACACACACACACACACACAAATTTAAATAAATTTGAATTCTTTCTATCAAAGTCAATAAAAATATATTCACACATCAGATTTTTATAAGCATATTAAAAATTACTCTTCTACCAAAGCCATCTACTTGTCTATTTCTACTTCACTATTGTTGTAGTTAAGTACAAATCAACTTCTGCTGAGAAATTTTTAAATGTTAATATACTTTTGAACCTAATGCTTTGAACCAAGAGAGTTCCAGAGGACCCTTGGCTGAAGGACAGATTTGAATCACAATTACAAGCAAACACTCTACTGCTCAAGGTGATTATTCCATCTTAAAGTTATACACATTTGTGGCAGTACAGTTAGGGAAGAAGCTAACAAAGCTCAATTTTTCTCTTTTTTCTTTCAGGGCAGCTCCCATGAGAACAGCTGTTCTCTTATTAATGCTGTTAAATGCTAGCAATAAACCTCTCTGGAATTATACTGAATAAGATGACGTAGAAGAAAGTTTGTACCAAATAAATTTGCGTAGATTAGAGTCTGCAGGTGGTCTAAACCATGCTTGTCTTGGGAGCCAAATTGTTCAGCACTGGAACCTCTTGAAAAAAGAACAAAGAGCCTTTCATTGCTCCAATTCTAAATGCAACTTAGTACTTCATTAGAAACCTCTTAGCTCGCCGTAGGAATCTTTCAGATTTAATTTTAAGGTACTGTAAAAACCTTCTTTTCCTGGGATACCATATTGAAACATTTTATTATGTGTTTCCTGGGAGATATCCAAGTTTTACAAATTGCAGAAGTTGTCTGTGCATATTTAATTTTTTCTGAAACCTAAGTATTAGGCTAAATCAAAATAATCATCCCTGCCAATAAGAATTCTGAAATTAAAATTAAATATTAATACTAAGAGCCCAAAGCAATAGAGTTAAAAATCTGAAAACCTGGGTTTTCTTTCTGTTTCTACAACCTTAGCATATTACTTAAACCTCTCAGCCTTAGTTTACTCTTTTGTAAAGTAAGGCAGCTAAACTGGATGAGCATAGATTCTCCTTGCATTCCTAAAATTACATTACTCTATGTGGCCAATATTTAGTAAATAATAATATTGCACAAGATTTATCATTTATTCGGCTGTAAAGGAATACTTTAAAGGTAATATTTCGAAAGCTACCATAACGAATCATCATGAATGGGATATTTTAAATTTTGATATAAGGTGATCAGTTAACTTTTAGAAGCCGTTAGTAAACAGAATTCACAGAATTCTTGTCCCTGCTTTAATGAACTTGATAAAAATGGGAAGGTCAGGGGAACACCACATCAGAATCTGAATGTTAGTATGTATGGCAACCCAACGCTACGGAACAGAAGGGAATAGAATATATGCTTGCAGCATTTGCAGTTAACACCCAGGTTGACAAGTTGAGCCTGTTAAATCTCCTGGCCTGAGCCCTTCAATTCCTGATGCCTGGGTCGTGTGTCTGTTTTCAGTGTGTTTGAGTTCACAAAGCAATCAGTCAGAGCCCACAGGAACAGAGGTTTTCCAGAGGCTAAACCGACAAGACCTTCATTCAGTGGAAAAAATGTCTTATCCTTAGTAAGACAGCAAACTACCTGGCTCTTTGAAATGAAAACAAAGTAAATAAGAAAACTGATACATGTTTATTAAATGGAGAAATGAATAAATAACTCATGAATCCCAAGTCTTGGCTTCTAGCTCTGAATCCCAAGGGCTGCACAAAATTTCTAATGCAAGTCTGATATAGGCATCAGATAAAAATTATAATTACTCTGATAGAATATTAAAGGAAAACAACTTTTGATTGTTCCCCCATTCTGTACAAAAGTTAATAGATAGGACAGCACTTAAACAAAAATCTGACCTAAAGCCAAATTTGCAAAACTCTATCTCACAAGTTTATAGCTGATGAGGATATGATCTCTTTATCTCTGCTTATGTATATTTACAATAGGATACTCGTATGAGGGCAAAACAGATCAACATGGGGTTAGAGAATCTCCTTACTAGGTGGCTGAAATTAACCAAGTCGTGCACTTTACTGATTGTGATGAAAGTAGGAACAAAATGATCAGAATGAGTTTCATAGGTAATATTTCTGAGAAGGGCTTTGAAAATACTAAGGTTGAAAATACTTTGAAAATACTAAGGTTTCTTTGTCTGTGAAGGTAGACGTAAACCATGTACTGTCTTCTTAGGAACACAGGAACAAACAGTATTTGTGCAACGTCACTCTAAGGGTCACAGGTTTTACTATTTATGCTATTGGTCATTATTTTGTACATGGCAGGAGAAATAGGAGAGCATATTTAAAGACAAGAAGAAAAATCATGTTTTTATAGCCAATTAAGTTAAATCAATTACACTGGCCACATAGCTTGGCCTCCAAGCTAGTTATCAGATGGGATCGCTTCTCATTGTCACTACTGCCACACTGGTCCAAAGTCATCTCTCACTTGGGTAATTTCAATAGTCTCCTAAATGATCTCCTACTTCTATCCTTGCTCCCATCCCAACCCCAAGAGTATTTTCAGTATAGCAGCAGAAGCGATCCAGTTAAAACATTCAGTCAATCCATTAACTCTTCTGCTCAAAAATAACTGATTTCCCATCTTACTCAGAGTAAGAGCCCAAATCCTTGCTGTGATCTACAAAGCTCTCCCTTCAAAGTCCACATCACCTGGCTCCCCACTACCTCTCTCTTGCTGCTCTTCTCCCCCCTTTCCCTCTGCTTCAGCCACCCCAGCTCTCCTGATGCTCCCTGAACACTCCAGCCAATACACACCTCAGGACCTTTGCACGTGTCGCTTTCTCTTCTCCTTGGAATCCTCTTTCCATATCCCCATGGAGAGCACCTCCTCATTTCTTTCAGGTCTTTTTTTCTTTTTTTAACCTCAATTTAGATCTTCTCTGTCCCTCATTATCTTACCTAAAATTTTAATCTTTCTCTGCAATATTTCATATCTCCCTTTTTTTAACTCTCGCATTCATCAGTATCTAACATACTATAGATATACTGACTTGTCTTGCTTAGTGTCTGCTGACTCCACTAGAATGTAAGTCTATAAGGGCAAGGATTTATCTATTTTTTGTCTATTTTTTTCATAGCTCTATCTTTACCTGGAAGAATACCTGGCACAGAGATTCAATAAATATTTGTTGAATGAACAAATGAATACTACCTCTTACCTCTGTATATGGCCTTCCCCTAACCAAGCCAATAAAAGCCTGTGATTGGTCTATATAACAGAAATTCCTTTTATTTGTAAATTATCAAGATATTCTGAAGAATAAGCTTCGACTCTTTACTTTTTTTCACTTCATGACAGAGAACATATCTTTATGATACATTAGGTATTATTATAGATTCCATAGTCTATTATTTCTATTATTATGCTATTGGGTAAGGGAGCTATCCATAATCAAACCCAGAAGATATTTGGACTTAAAAAATTATATTTCACGAGAAGCATAAAATTCATCTAAACTTAAGAAAACAACCCCAGGAAAAACACACTTCAACTAGATTTTATAACTCACTTGGGGATTCATTATTTTCACAGGTTTCTTCTTCATTTGGTGCTGCTGCTGCTGCTTCCTCCTCTTCTTCTGGGTCATCGGTGTCTCCTGACTCGTCACTGTCTTCCACCCATTTCCCCGGCATTAGTCCTGCTGAGTCATAGGAGTTGCACAGGGGACCCACGATGTGAGAGATGAAGGATTCCTGAAGATTGGCCAATTGTGGGGCAGAACGATCCATGAAGGGGCTTATGGGTAACCCAAGGCTGGCCTCCTCATCACCCTAGAAATAGGGATTTAGCATGAATAGTTGGCTAGAAGGTCAATGAAAAGCAAAGTTTAGAATACAAGGAAAGTCGACATTCACCTGGCATCTAAAATGTGTCAATACACAAGAACCCAGACATTCATATGCAAACTCCCTCTTTATGTGACTGCTACTAGATTCTACCCAAATCATTAAGATTCCTATACAAATACTGCGTTGCTATTTAGCACTTTTGTGATCTTGAGGTTTTGTCTTTTTATCAAGGGGAAATACAAGGAGTGGTAAAATGTTTGAGCAGATGATATTTCTTATCACATTAGTCAGTGTCCCTTATACAAGAATATAAATGCATCTTAAAATGCAATGCTGGGAATAATTATCAAAAAATATATAATCTATTGCGTTTTTCTTTTGTACCTTGGCTGTCAGAAAGCTCAAGATAATTTATTGCACAATTCAAGTTGCTACCTTATCCCAGA